GTTTAAGCTCATCATTACACCATTTGCTGGATGTATTTTGATTTGTCTGTGACAGCCCTTGGTGCGGGTACTGAACACAAATCTAATTGAGATCACATTAACGTTGCCTGCGTTCAATATTAAAAGCTACAATCTTTCTATCAGTATAGAGGCTACAGAACGTGAAAGTTGCCTGCGTTCAATATTAAAAGCTACAATCTTTCTATCAGTATAGAGGCTACAGAACGTGAAAGTTGGCTGCGTACAATATTAAAAGCTACAATTTTTCTACCAGTATAGAGGCTTCAGAACGTGAAAGTTGGCTGCGTGCAATATTAAAAGCTACAATCTTTCTATCAGTATAGAGGCTACAGAACGTGAAAGTTGGCTGCGTGCAATATTAAAAGCTACAATGTTTCTATCAGTATAGAGGCTACAGAACGTGAAAGTTTTTCTTACCTGAGGTCCACGACACGAGATATTCAGGACGACAGCAGAGGATGTGGTTCAAATCTCTGACAGTATAATCTCCTTGTTGGTCAGTCGATACCAAATACTTATATACGCGGACCTCACTTGTGACGTCAAGGTACCCCTCATTATGACGTCATTGTTGTGGGGAGGGGAGAAGAGATTAGTGGCCAGTGTTCTGAGACCCATGTGACCAGTGACCAGAAGGTGACCACTGACACCCAACCACTGACACCCCCACCACTGCCATATTGGATGTTGACACAATTGGCGCCACTTGCATGTGTGGTCTTCAGGTCTCGAAGTTCACCCAAGCGTGGCCGACACACCTGACTGAGCAGGAGCGTCGCTACAGTGGACAATGGTCACCCCCGGGCAGTAGGGCTATGGGGGACAATGATCCGTGTCTCGGGGGCTATAAATAGATCAATATGGCGCTGGCCACAGGTTAAAGACAACAACTCGAAGCAGACGAGAAGTGACGTCAGATTTCGTAGTCTACATACGGGTGAGGTGAACGGAAAAAAAGACAAACGAAAAATTATATAGGAAAAAAAATCACATAAATATAGTCACCAAAAAAAATCACAAAAATATTCTAAGAAATATTTTTTTTTTTAATGTTGATAATTGCAAAATTTTGGGTGTTTAATAATGTGCTTGGTAAATTTTTCGGTAGCATATTTGTAAACTTTGAAGCATTATGGTTTATAACAATAATAAGTTAAAATACTATTTTTACGGTGGAAAATTGTTATAAAATAAATTTAGGCTCATCATTGTGTTTGCATATGTTTTGCCGTCCCTTATCTTGGTCGACTTCTCTTCCATCGGCTTTGTCCGTCCATATTGTGTGTTATTGACGTTTTGCGTCAATGACAGCCTTTGTACCGTGTCGGCTTTCTCTTTTATCCTAGGCTTTGTTATGAAAAACGCGAGATAAATGTGGGCAGTACAGGTGGTTGAACCAAGGAATCGCCAACGGCAAAAACAAATATATACCAAACACAATGATGTGCCAAAATTTCTGTTGTAATTAGTTGTTCTACAGCGTATTTAACTAAATACGTAACAAAAGTTGAGGTTGCTGTGTAAATTACGTCATATTATTTATAATGCTTTTACGTGTATAAATATTCTACCAAAACAAAAACAACCCACACCATTACACACCCACAATTTTACAGTTCTTAAAATTTAAATCAAAATATTACTTTTAAGACTTTGGTGGCTTTTTTCTGTAACTTTATTTCTGTGACTTTTTTCTTTGGTTTTTTTCTTTCCTGTGACTTTTTTTTTCAGTTCACCTTGTTTTTGTGGGTTTTTATTTTGGGCGGGAAGGGGGGGGGGGGAGAACAGGCTTTTCTTGACAATTGTTTTGGTAAACATTTTGGTTAAATAAACATGCAATGACAAATTTAAAAAAAACTCGATTTAAAGACAGTGTGTGTATGTGTGCAAGTATGTGTGTTTGACTACATGCGTGTATGTGTGTGTGTTATGTTGGGTAGAGAGCAGAACAAAACGAGAATTTTAAATATATATTTTAGTTTCGACATTATGTTTTCCAAAAGTGCAATAATTCAATGTCATATAAACATTTTATCTGTGACGTATATTTCTCTGACTTTTTTCCGTTAAAAATTTTCATCCGTGACTTTTTTTTTTTCTGACTTTTTATTCCTATAAAATTTTCCTCTGAGACTTTTATTTCTGTGACTTTCTTCCTAGCAAAAACTGTGGCCTTTTTTCTGTATTTTTTTCCTGTGACTTTATTCCGTACACCGGTAAAGGAGTTGGGCTATTGCTGAGTTTATCGTCGTTTTTGGCAGCTGTTGACATGTAATGGTAAAACGGTCGAGGTATGTTTTAGATTGGTTTCTTCACTTACAAGTTGAGGATATTATACGGAGACTTAGCCAACGAATGTAGGCGCCATGATGCTCTTGGGGGAGTCCGGGGCAGTGTTTCTTCCAGGCATTTTTTCGGGGGGGGGGGGGAGCGGAGCCCCGAAGAGAGTCTACCCCCCTCCCGAACAAAATGGATTTACATAGAAGATATACTTCCCTCCCCCCCCCCCCCCCCCGGAAAATAAAAATCTGGAAGAAACACTGGCCCGGGGTGCTCCGGGTCAAAAACCACCGGGCCACCCAGTGAGCGGATCTCAAGTGTTAAAATAACCGCTAGAAAAATCCGGGTGAAAATATCTTTGATAAAAATGAGCACCAGAGTGTTGGAATGCAGAACAGTCGAGGGGAAATAACTCAATTAATGTGCACGCAAAATCATCTAACTAGGTTACATCCCTTAATTAATCGGTTTTATTGGTGAGGGGTGGTGGAGGGGTTGAGGAAGCTTGGCCCCTAGGGACTTATATATTACGAGCCGACCCGCAGCGTATCATACGCCGCTATTTAGTTGTTTTATTTTCTACTTTTCAGTAATTCATAATTTGTAAATTCGACAGTACCAATGCTGCCACTGAAAATATTTGCTTTAAAACACTAACCCCCCCCCCCCACTTCCCCTAACCCCCCCCCCCCCCCCCCGTGAAAGCAGCCTCCTCTTAGTTATTTCTTAGTTACCTCCTGTAAGTTTAAAATCGAACTAAATTATCTGCCCCTAATAGAAACCCGGCTGTACGTCTCTTCTATTGTAAACATTTAGCTTTGTAAAAATTTAGAGTGAACACCGCTCACCAGACAATGTTGGGGTGGGGTGGGGGGTGGTAGTGATAGTGATAGAGAGAAAGAGAGGGGACTGCAAGGAGGCGCTTGCAGCTTGTTTTCTAACTGATCCCAGAAGAGAATTATATATATAGATTATATTTATGTGTCAGAAAACTGCTGTATTTTACTCAAAAACTTATAAAATGTATAAAATGTATAAAATGTATAAAATGTATAAAATGTATAAAATGTATAGAATGTATAGAATGTATAAAATGTATAAAATGTATAAAATGTATAAAATGTATAAAATGTATAAAATGTATAAAATGTATAAAATGTATAAAATGTATACAATGTATACAATGTATAAAATGTATAAAATGTATAAAATGTATACAATGTATACAATGTATACAATGTATACAATGTATACAATGTATACAATGTATACAATGTATACAATGTATACAATGTATACAATGTATACAATGTATACAATGTATACAATGTATACAATGTATACAATGTATACAATGTATACAATGTATAAGATTTATAAAATTTATAAAATTTATAAAATTTATAAAATTTATAAAATTTATAAAATTCCTTTTAGTGTCCTAATTTCTATTTTTAATACAGGTTTTTTTTTTTACATTTTTTTAATCGTTAAAAAGCAAAACGTAGAAGTTTTTTAAATAGTTTTTGTGTGTCGTCAGGTGTGTCTGTCACGTGTGTCCGTCTATAGACAAGTCTCGTGCACACGGCGAGGGGATCATGAATCCTCATGACAATACCATGTGAACATCATGAGAATATAATATGAACATCATGAGAATACAATGTTAACATCATGAGAATATCACGTGAACATCATGAGAATACCATGTGAACATTATGAGAATATCATGTGAACATCATGAGAATACCATGTGAACATCATGAGCATATCATGTGAACATCATGTGAATACAATGTGAACATCATGAGAATATCATGAGAACATCATGAGAATATCATGTGAACATCATTAGAATACCATGTGAACATCATGAGAATATTATGTGAACATCATGAGAATACCATGAGAATACCATGTGAACATCATGTGAACATCATGAGAATATCATGTGAACATCAATAGAATATCATGTGAACATCATGTGAACATCATGTGAACATCATGAGAATATCATGTGAACATCAATAGAATATCATGTGAACATCATGTGAACATCATGTGAACATCATGTGAACATCATGTGAACATCATGTGAACAACATATGTTGAAACGTGTCACCAACGTGCTATTGGTGACAGCTATCAGTGTTTGTGTGTGTGTGTGTGTGTGTGTGTGTGTGTGTGTGTGTGTGTGTTCTCACACTTCAGGTTCAACTGTTGTAAGGTTGTTGCTTTTATCTTCGTTATTATTATGTTTGGCCCCATAAGATAATATCTGTATAGATTTCATTTTCATTAAGATATTAGCACTAGATACGTTTAAATTAATTGCTGGGAGGAGTAGGCCTTCGACGTTTTGAATGTTTTTTTTTTTTTTTACTTCTTTTGAATTTTTTTTTTCTAACTGAACTATCACCGATAAGGGGCATAGCTCCTCAATATTTCAGGGCGCATAACTCCGCCAGAATAGAAGTAACATGAATCCGCTAAACAAGTGAATAAATTATTGAAATAACTACACAATAACACGCATAAAATAAATACCAAAAGTATTGTAACCATGCTGAATAATTAACAGGTATTTTGAAATTGTTGACATAAAAATATACAAGAAAGTTTAGGGGAGATCACTCCCGGTTTTATATCACTGCTAAGCTAAGTACTGAAATAGAAAAAGAAAAAATACGTACTCTAGATACAAATATATTTCATTTATTTTCATTTCAATGCACTACAAAAATGTAAACACACCAAAACAAGATTACACAAATAATACGTGCGGCTGTAATGATGTGGTATCAGGTCACCAGATCACCAGATCACTGTGAGAAATACAGATTTGATCGACAACTGTTAAGGTATTATTTTAAAAAACAACTTGCGTCAGCCGGGAATCGAACCCGGATCGACTGCTTGGAAGGCAACCATGCTAACCTTTACACCACCGACGCGCTGTACCAAACTCACGTAGACAACAAGCAGTATGGGCCTACGGCAGACAGACACGCCGATCTCAGGTAAAGTTTGATTGAGGTCGGGGTGACCTCGGTAAGTTCAAGGTGATTGGCGATTGACCTGTCGGAACATACACGTTGAATATTTTTTTTTTAATTTTAAATGTGTGTTTTCTTTCCCCACAGCCACCTCCCTTACTTTACAACCCGACCCCGTGGTGGTAGGTCGGTGTGGTGGTGGTAGGTCGGTGTGGTGGTGTCTCACACATCCAAAAAAGCGACGCTAGGAAGAAATGGTTCCGCCTTTGACAACGACGTTCAGCCCGCATAGAATAGTGCTGAAATAGAAAGGTCAAAGTTCAAATATGGCCGCCCGTGTTATTGCAGAGTTAGTCAGCTAAACATAATACATACAACATACGATAACAACATAATACATACAACATACGATAACAACATAATACATACAACATACGATAACAACATAACAAGCAATACAACATACAACATACGATAACAACATAACAAGCAATACAACATACAACAACTGAACACATCCAATACAACACACAATAAGTCTAGTAAAACAAAGTGTGTAAATTACGTTTCATTGATAACATCAACTGGTAATAAAACAAATATAAAAAATATTTATAGAAACAAGCTTTGAAATGCACTGAAAATAAGAAAATAAAACTAATTTGTTGTCTCTCATAAAAGTTTTGTCGCTAAAATATGTAAAAGATTTCACCAGCGACCAAAGATTTTACTAACGAAAGCAAATGTATTTTATTTTCCTATTTTCAGTGCATTTAAAAGCTTGCTATTAGAAAGGTTTTTTATATTTGTTCTATTTTCTACTTCTGAGGGATTCCTAATTTATGAAGTCGACACAACTAAAATATTTGTTTTAAACAAATTCTGGAATTAAATAAAGAAATCTATCGAGTGATTTAATATTTTGTTATCTCCTCTTAGTGCCGAACCATTTCAATTAATTTTAATGACTAATTAAACATCTAATTAAATTTTTTTTTAAAAATAGATGGACTCGTATTGTCACTAGAGTGGATCGTATCTAGAAATCGCTGCATTAGAAGTGGGTCAGAATTGAGTTACAAATTTGCCACAAACCCACAAACAAAAAAAAAACAACATACAAACAAACATACGTTGTGAACTTAATAAAAGCTTGTAAAAAGCAACTGAATCAAGTAACGAAACCTACATCTAGCCTGAACTCCCTCCCCCCAACAAACCCCCCTCTAGCCTGACACCCCCCTCCCCCCAACAAACCCCCCTCTAGCCTGACACCCCCCCCCCCCCCCAACAAACCTACCTCTAGCCTGAACTCCCTCCCCCCAACAAAGCCCCCTCTAGCCTGACACCCCCCTCCCCCCAACAAACCTACCTCTAGTTCTGATCCCCTGGCTTAACCATGTCTGTTTTTAGCGCGGCACGAACTTCACCAAAGTCCGTCAAATGACAAATAAGCTCCTCCTCTTTACAAGCCTCGAACGAGCAGCGTTTGTCAGGGTCCTGTAGGATATCTAGCAGCTCTAGATGAGCCTCACTGACTTCTCTAATCTGTCGGAGACCCCGGAATATTTTGGCCGTGACCTTGTTCTGCCGGCTGGCCTGAAACTCCTTCAGCAGGTCCTCTAGCTGACGGCGTTTGGCGCCAACAATCTCCCCTCTCGTCTGCTCGCCTGCTGTAGCGTGGTCCACGAACGTGTTGACCTCAGCGATCAGACTGCTCTGCCGCTGCTCGAGGTACTGATGGAGCTCGCTAAACTTGGCGACGATTTCATTCGTCACTTCCTCTTTCATGTTCTCCATGGCAACCACTTCCTGCTCGTGTTTCTCCTTCTCGGCGGCCATCTTCTCGAGGGTCAGTTGGGCGCTTTTCTCAGCGGCGTCCATCAAGTCCGAGTAGCTTTTGAGTGCGGACTTGACGTCACAGATCACGTGACCTTTGTCCGTTGTGTGGTCGAGCACCGTACAGTCCCGACACACGGGCACGAAACATTTCTGGCAGAAAAAACTCAGGTACTGGAACTCGTGTTGGGGGCAGATGTTCTTCTGCTGATGTTTGATGTCGTCCACACAGTCTCTGATCTGGTTGACCTTGTGGTCGACCGGCAGCTTGCAGACGTCACCGCTCAGGTGGGTGACCGCCCGGCACATGGGGCAGTACAGGTCACCCCGACCTCCCGACTGGGTCACCAAGCACATCTGGCAGAAGGTGTGGTTGCAGGTGAGAAGCTTGGGCGAGCGATCTGATTGGTTGAACGGCTCTCCACATATGCTGCAGGTAAGGAAGGTCTCCTCCAGATCTTTGGACAGCGTCATTTCCGTGTGGGCGTTCAGCATTGGTCCCTCCATTGTTGGGGCAGGGTGGGGGGGGGGAGTGGGGGCGGTGTCCTGGAAGTAACCAAAATATTTCATTTAGACTTGGAGCATCTCTCGAAGGATGGTTTAATGATGGTATTGTTATTCTCAAAGGATGGTTAAATGATGGTATCATTATTCTCAAAGGATGGTACAATGATGGTATAATGGTACGCTATTATGAGAGTTTAATTAATTTTCACTTTTATCGTAATATTAATTAGCCAAATCATAAATATCACCCACTTGAACTTAACCCTAACTGTAACGCTAAACCTAACACTAACCTTAACACTAATCATAACGCTCACCCTAACACTAACTGTTACGCCAACATTGAATGAACCATTTTTATGACTTAATCCTAGAGCTAACCAATAAAAAACAACAAGGGATAACCTCTAACCAGGAATAACCTCTAAACAGGAATAACAAAAGATAGTAGCAGGTATGGGGTAGACCTTACCAAGACAGTGTGGAGACTGTCTAATGCCACACTCATACACATTCATACACACTCACACTCACTCACACACACTCATACACATTCATACACACTCATACACACTCATACACATTCATACACACTCACACTCACTCACACACACTCATACACACTCACACTCACTCACACACACTCATCCACACTCATACACACTCACACTCACTCACACACATTCATACACACTCATACACACTCACACTCACTCACACACATTCATACACATTCATACACACATTTACACATACATACACATACACAGACATTCACATGCATACAAAAACATACACACGTAAATACACACACAGACATACACCACACACATACACACAGACATACACCACACACATACACACAGACATACACCACACACACACAGAGACATACACCACACACATACACACAGACATACACCACACACACACAGAGACATACACCACACACACACACTGACATGCCCACATACTCAGACATTCACACGTTTAATTTTCAAGTTACCAAATAAAGTTTACTTACAGTAATGAATCAACGAATACAAAATCAGCTCCTAATCACACACACTTTTGTTGTGTCGTCTGCTGTTGTGTGGGGCAAGTGTGGGGGACCGAATGAACGAACCACTTTATGATTGCCGACCTCCACTACTGCACATGCGCAAATTACGTGTCAGCTGGGGTTTCTAGGAATCGACAGGTTTCGGTATGACGTCACAAAGCATTCGAGCCCGGCTTAACCCGTCTGCAACAGTGGAGTGGAGAGGGGGGGGGGGGTTGAAAAAATTCCCTTATTTAAATCAGTTCTAAAAAAAAATGTGCCGTATTTACGTTTAAGCAAAGCTAGTTACAGTTCTTTTTTTCGTCGGTATACTTTTTTACTTTCTGGTGTACAGAGTAGTGAGGAAGAATTATTATCGTTTGTCCGTCTGTCTGTCTGTCTGTCTGTCTGTCTGTCTGTCTGTCTGTCTGTCTGTCTGTCTGTCTGTCTGTCTGTCTGTCTGTCTGTCTGTCTGTCTGTCTGTCTGTCTGTCTGTCTGTCTGTCTGTCTGTCTGTCTGTCTGTCTGTCTGTCTGTCTGTCTGTCTGTCTGTCTGTCTGTCTGTCTGTCTGTCTGTCTGTCTGTCTGTCTGTCTGTCTGTCTGTCTGTCTGTCTGTCTGTCTGTCTGTCTGTCTGTCTGTCTGTCTGTCTGTCTGTCTGTCTGTCTGTCTGTCTGTCTGTCTGTCTGTCTGTCTGTCTGTCTGTCTGTCTGTCTGTCTGTCTGTCTGTCTGTCTGTCTGTCTGTCTGTCTGTCTGTCTGTCTGTCTGTCTGTCTGTCTGTCTGTCTGTCTGTCTGTCTGTCTGTCTGTCTGTCTGTCTGTCTGTCTGTCTGTCTGTCTGTCTGTCTGTCTGTCTGTCTGTCTGTCTGTCTGTCTGTCTGTCTGTCTGTCTGTCTGTCTGTCTGTCTGTCTGTCTGTCTGTCCGTCCGTCCGTCCGTCCGTCCGTCCGTCCGTCCGTCCGTCCGTCCGTCCGTCCGTCCGTCCGTCTGTCTGTCTAAACACTGTAAATTAAGTAACGTTTGAGTTACAATCCCATATCTCACCACCCCTGCCCCACATCTCACCACCCCTGTCCCACAACTCATCAATATGATGACAATTACATTTGGTGTCATTTAAGCAGACATTTACTACCCAGAGTGTTAACAACTACGACGAGCCTTAAGCAATCGCTTATTTTAATGAATGGATAAGTCTGTATTTACAGATCAAGGGGGACAACACATTTTTTTTTGTAGAGAAGTAAAATCTTCGTCCCATTTCTCCCCCCTCTTCCCCTCCCCCCCCCCCCCCCCCCCCACACACACACACTTACTCTACTTCCGGTTTCTCAAAAAAAAAACAATATTTCAACACCGTATAAATTTTAGTGGACGACATGTCACTTAAGTATTACATAACATGCGATGGTTTATATCGAATTTAAATTATTTTTTTTTGTAAAAGGAAGTGAGAGGCCTACTGTACTGTGTCATAGAGGTAACAGAAATGTCATATATAAGATTTTATCCTTGGATTACTTTAAATCTTTGAGTTACCGCTGATATCCTGAAGTGGTACTTAACTTTATTTCTGGTTTCTAAATTACCGGTAACAATACAACTGTTGTAGGTAGATGGAAGAAATTATTGGCGTAGCTAGAAGATCTTATTCGCTAATATTTGACAAATTTTGCTTTATTTCCGTTGACCGGAAGAAGTTTTTTTCGCTACTTCTGTTGTTTTTTTTTTTGTTTTTTTTTTGTAAGAATTTATTCACCTTGGTTCGTCTCTTTACCGTCCGCCCTGGGCGAAAACTTGCGAGCAAAATTTAGACCACTTCTACAATCGATTTCTTTCAAACTTTTTACTTTTTAGGTCTAAACTTGGGTGACAGTGTTTTGTGACGTCAAATGTTTAATACAATTTTTAAAACTTAATCAAAGTTTTCCTTAATCAAGCACTAATTTTCTGCCAGTATTATTCACACATCGTTTGCATTCATTTGGTGTGTAGCGAAGTCCTTTTTTCAACACAATTTAATAACTTAAAATACAGGATCGTTTAGGGGAGATATCTCCCGCTTTATTAAAAACAACAAAAATATGGCACTCACATTTAATATCTAGACTAGACAAACAAAATATGGCACTCACATTTAATATCTAGACTAGACAAACAAAATATGGCACTCACATTTAATATCTAGACTAGACAAACAAAATATGGCACTCACATGTAATATCTAGACAAACAAAATATGGCACTCACATTTAATATCTAGACAAACAAAATATGGCACTCACATGTAATATCTAGACAAACAAAATATGGCACTCACATTTAATATCTAGACAAACAAAATATGCAACCTGCAAAACATTTACATTTCATTAAAAAAAATGTCCACATTGTAAAGATTATCAATGAAGCTAAAATTTTCCTTCCATAGAGATAATGTGTCTTTTTATATAAAGGTTTCCATTGCATCATTACCATGGGTCTAGTTTTTTTAACATTATGTCAGTCAATAGGCATGAAAATTCTGTTATCATTCTAATATTTTTTTAAATCTTTAAAAAATATGGCATGCCAAAAAAAATTATTAACATTAGTAAAAATTAAAGCTGTTTATTAATATAACATCCCCAATCACCATAACACCCTGACTCTACTAATCAAAATTTAAAATAAAAGTGTTTGCTAAATTACTTTTATATTACTAGTAATTATTTAATTGACTATTTCTAGCCTTAATAAAATTTTGTAGTAAATTTGTATTATTACACAAATGTTTTAAAATATTCAATTTTGGTTGAAAATTGTGCTTTTTGGCAACACAAATTTGGAATCAGCTTTTCAAGCCTATTATCTAGCTCTTGTCAAAATGTTTGACACAATTTGATCACAGTTGCTTTAAAACTCACTCTTCTCAATGTTCGTGTCTGGTCAGTTTTGTAGTTCATTTCAGTGACCAGGGAAGTTGCGTCTATGCCAGTGTCCATTTGGACGAGTCCATTCAATGCCCATCTGGACGAGTCTATGCCAGTGTCCATGTGTGTCTACTGCAGGTGGTGCCGTATTATGGTGGGGTTGTAGACCAACCTGTGCCTGTGTGTCTACTGCAGGTGGTGCCGTATTATGGTGGGGTTGTAGACCAACCTGTGCCTGTGTGTCTACTGCAGGTGGTGCCGTATTATGGTGGGGTTGTAGACCAACCTGTGCCTGTGTGTCTACTGCAGGTGGTGCCGTATTATGGTGGGGTTGTAGATCAACCTGTGCCTGTGTGTCTACTGCAGGTGGTGCCGTATTATGGTAGGGTTGTAGACCAACCTGTGCCTGTGTGTCTACTGCAGGTGGTGCCGTATTATGGTGGGGTTGTAGACCAATCTGTGTCTGTGTGTCTACTGCAGGTGGTGCCGTATTATGGTAGGGTTGTAGACCAACCTGTGCCTGTGTGTCTACTGCAGGTGGTGCCGTATTATGGTGGGGTTGTAGACCAACCTGTGTCTGTGTGTCTACTGCAGGTGGTGCCGTATTATGGTGGGGTTGTAGACCAACCTGTGTCTGTGTGTCTACTGCAGGTGGTGCCGTATTATGGTGGGGTTGTAGATCAACCTTTGCCGGTGTGTCTACTGCAGATGGTGCCGTAATATGGTAGGGTTGTAGACCAACCTGTGCCGGTGTGTCTGAGGGCCAGCCTCGGGTCTCAGGGCAGCTGGTGCTGACCCCCGGGCCAGCGGGTTCACACCTTCTGGGGTCTGACCAAACAACATGGACACCTGGGGCGGGAGAAACAAACAAGATATATGACCTTCAGACGTGTGACCTTCAGTCAAGAGTTTTTAAGACATTTTAGCTTTGTGACCTATAAGCGTTGGGTTTATGACTTTTGGGCATGCGAACCTCGAACATTAGCACTGGAGGTGTACATTAGGAATGTGACCTTTGGAAATAAACATAGGGCATGTGACCTCGACTTTTGGAAATAAACTTTGAGAATGTGACTTTTGGAAATAAACATTGGGAATGTGACCTATCGAAATAAACATTGGGAATGTGACCTTTGGAAAGAAACATTGGGAATGTGACCTTTGGAAATAAACATTGGGAATGTGACCTTTGGAAAGAAACATTGGGAATGTGACCTTTGGAAATAAACATTGGGAATGTGACCTTTGGAAAGAAACATTGGGAATGTGACCTTTGGAAATAAACATTAGGAATGTGACCTTTGGAAATAAACATTAGGAATGTGACCTTTGGAAATAAACATTAGGAATGTGACCTTTGGAAATACACATTGGGAATGTGACCTTTGGAAATAAACATTGGGAATGTGACCTTTGGAAATAAACATTGGGAATGTGACCTTTGGAAATAAACATTACGAATGTGACCTTTGGAAAGAAACATTGGGAATGTGACCTTTGGAAATAAACATTGGGAATGTGACCTTTGGAAAGAAACATTGGGAATGTGACCTTTGGAAATAAACATTGGGAATGTGACCTTTGGAAATAAACATTGGGAATGTGACCTTTGGAAATAAACATAGGGCATGTGACCTCGACTTTTGGAAATAAACATTGAGAATGTGACTTTTGGAAATAAACATTGGGAATGTGACCTATCGAAATAAACATTGGGAATGTGACCTTTGGAAATAAACATTGGAAATGTGACCTTTGGAAATAAACATTGGGAATGTGACCTTTGGAAATAAACATTGGGAATGTGACCTTTGGAAATAAACATTGGGAATGTGACCTTTGGAAATAAACATTGGGAATGTGACCTTTGGAAATAAACATTACGAATGTGACCTTTGGAAAGAAACATTGGGAATGTGACCTTTGGAAATAAACATTGGGAATGTGACCTTTGGAAAGAAACATTGGGAATGTGACCTTTGGAAATAAACATTGGGAATGTGACCTTTGGAAATAAACATTGGGAATGTTACCTTTGGAAATAAACATTACGAATGTGACCTTTGGAAAGAAACATTGGGAATGTGACCTTTAGAAATAAACATTGGGAATGTGACCTTTGGAAAGAAACATTGGGAATGTGACCTTTGGAAATAAACATTGGGAATGTGACCTTTGGAAATAAACATTGGGAATGTGACCTTTGGAAATAAACATTGGGAATGTGACCTTTGGAAATAAACATTGGGAATGTGACCTTTGGAAATAAACATTGGGAATGTGACCTTTGGAAATAAACATTGGGAATGTGACCTTTGGAAATAAACATTGGGAATGTGACCTTTGGAAATAAACATTAGGAATGTGACCTTTGGAAATAAACATTAGGAATGTGACCTTTGGAAATAAACATTAGGAATGTGACCTTTGGAAATACACATTGGGAATGTGACCTTTGGAAATAAACATTGGGAATGTGACCTTTGGAAATAAACATTGGGAATGTGGCCTTTGGAAATAAACATTAGGAATGTGACCTTTGGAAATACACATTGGGAATGTGACCTTTGGAAATAAACATTGGGAATGTGACCTTTGGAAATAAACATTGGGAATGTGACTTTACTCGTCAACATTCGACCTGTGACCTTTTAGACACGAGCAATGGACATGTGGCTGTATAGACGTGTCATGAGGACATTCGATAATGTAAACATTGTTTACATGGGGAACGTAGATGTAGTTTGATAGAGTTGGTGTCACGTGATTTACAAGGGTGCAGTGGGCTATGAAGTCAAATTGAGATAAACCGCGCATGCACTATCCACCTCTTACCTGTGAACTGTTGGTGTCACGTGGTCGCCTCCCGTGTCTCGTGCTTCGTCTGGCAGAGTTTCGTCCCTCCTCCCTCCTCCCGCCCTCGTCGTCTGCCGTGAGTATTTGGCTGCTAAACAGCTCGGCCAGGATGCTGCCTGGTAAGAACCGCTCGTGGTAGTCCAAGTCTTCATCGTCATCATCCGGGTCATCACCCGTCATTGGATGACTCGCTTGACGATCTGGGTAACACAAGCATACAACAAAAACTGTTCAAATCTAATGCTAAAACTGGGTAACACAAGCATACAACAAAAACTTTTCAAATCTAATGCTAAAACTGGGTAACACAAGCATACAACAAAAACTTTTCAGATCTAATGCTAAAACTGGGTAACACAAGCATACAACAAAAACTTTTCAAATCTAATGCTAAAACTGGGTAACACAAGCATACAACTAAAACTTTTCAGATCTAATGCTAAAACTGGGTAACACAATCATACAACAAAAACTTTTCTAATCTAATGCTAAAAACTTGGCTCTATCTGATGATAACCTATATTGGAGACATTTTATTGAGCTAAACACTGAGACAATCTAGCTACAGTGACCGCTGTGACCTGACATAGTTCAAGTAACAAAACAAGCAGCTACCAGGTTGTGATGAGGTCAAGCAGAAGACAGCAGAAACAGAGCATAACGTAGTCAGGTGGACCAACAGAATTGCAGGAGATGACGTGTCAAATGACCACTGAAGCGTGGGTTGGAGATAGGTAGCGCTAGAGGAAAGGTATAGGAGTTAGAATGTGGATAGTGTTAGAGGTGGTCATGGGAGCGTGTAGGGAGAAGTCTAGTGTTAGTTGTAGTTAGATAGTGTTAGTAGATAGTTATATGTAAGACGTAGTTGTGGTAGGAGACGATGTCAAGTGTAAATAAACAACTGTATTATATTTAATTGGGCCTTTTGTGTTGATTCCATACTGTACCGGGCGTACATAAGAAGAGGCGACCCACGAAGGCAGAATATTTACCGTATGTTTATTACAGTTATATATAGAATCAAACTTTCTGCAGCCTTGCATCACATTTGGTGGTAGAACTGTCACTATCACATTTGGTTGCAGTGTTTCTTCCAGATTTTTTTCTCCGGGGGGGGGGGGGGGCACTTGATATTTTCGGGGGGGGGGGGGGGGGGGCGGCCAACATTCTCCGGGGGGAGGGGCGGACAATAGTAAAAGTATATTTATTTGTGCTATATAAATTCCATCTCGTTCGGGGGGGGGGGGGGGGGTAGACTTTCTTCGGGGGAGGGGGGCTAAGCCCCCCCCCCCCCCCCCGAAGAGATGCCTGGAAGAAAATCTCTGTTTGGTAGAGCAGCGGTTTCTTCAACCTGTACCCTCACAACTTGTGGTTCTTCACCCCACAATCACACACACAGACAACAATTACTCACCTATCTCAGGACTAAAAAGCTCCCTGTACCTCTGACGCTCCCTCTCCTGCTCCTGCTCCAAGTCCTGCAGCTCCTTAACGCTGACCGTCAGCTTCAGGCCGGGGTCAGCCCTGCTCCTCACCTCCCCAAGGCCACTCAAGTCAGAGAGAAAAGTGCCCTCGTTCACAGCCTCGAACTCGCACGACTGAAAGAGTTCCGTGTCGTCTTTAGTGGCCGACTCCTTGAAAACATCTTCTCTGTCTTTGATCTGCTGACAGATGCTTAAGATTTTGCGGATGTCGTTGCTTGATTTGGACGCTTTCAACAGATCGTACAACTTTTGGAGTTCTGTCCCATGGCCACAGATGTTAGCAAACTGGTTGTTGATTTTAGTTTTGTGTTCCTTGATGATCTGGCTGATGGTGGCGTTGAGGTACTCCTGTCTCTTGTCTAGCAGCAGCTTGTACTCGATGAAGTTCTCGCGGACCTGCTGCTTGAGCTTCCTCTCCAGCATGTCCAGCCGCTTGGAGGCGTTGCCCAGGTGGTCAGACCTTCGCTTCATCTTCTCCAGGTACTGCTTGCTTCTGTTCTCAACGTCCGTGAACACGGCGGAGTTCTCTCGCATGGCGTCTGCCAAGTCTATGATGACGTGACCATCTGTCTCCTTATGGTCGAGGACGGTGCAGTCCCGACAGATGGGCGTCATGCACTTCTTGCAGAAGAAGTTCAGAGGCTGACTCTCGTGTTTGGCGCACAGGTTCGACGTCTTGGCCATGGCCTGCGAGATGAAGTCCGTCATCTGGAATATTCTGTGGTCGTTGGGCAGCTCTGTGATGTCGTCACGCTGCAGGTGTATCTCCACACGACATGTCGGGCACTTGAGCAGCCCGTCCATCTGTCGCAGACGATACACCCACTCGGTGTTCTCGGGCTGTCCGTTGGCGTGGTCGTATATCTGGGTCAAGCACGTGGTGCAGAATGTGTGGTTACACGGGAGGGACTTGGGCGTGTGCTCCGCCTGGTCGAACTTCTCGTGGCACACCCCACAGCGCAGGAACCTCTCCTCGAAGGCAGCCTCGTCCACCAGGAAGCTTCGACTCCCCTCGGGCGTGTTCGCTGTGTCACCTGATGCCATGGGTCTGGGATGGGGCTGAGGGGGGGGTCTGGGCAGGGGGGGGGGTCTGGGCAGGAGCTGAGGGGGGGGGGGGGTCTGGGCAGGAGCTGAGGGGGGCTCTGGTGCAGAAGCCTTCTACACACGGCGTTGGCGCTGAGAGGGGGCCTGAGATGTAGAAGTAATACATTCAGATAACTGTGCAGCGAATGACTAAATTTTCTACATAAATCTAAGTGGAATATCTCTGGATACCAGAGAAATTCCTGTAGCATTTATTCTAAACGTTTTTTTTTTTTCCAAATAGCAATGAGAAAAAATAAAATATTATTAATACTAAATATTTGTTTCAAGACCTGGTAAACCACGCCTTTGCAAAAAGTGTGTGACTTTTCCACTCTGGCAATGTACGTGTAAATAGCAGGTTGTAAAGTTATTGATAAAATGTTATCAAATAGTAAAAGTGGAAGTAGAATGCAACGAGTTAAATGAAACAAAAAAGTTAGCAGCTTAGATCTTAGTCTGATAAATATATTATTAGAATCCAGGGGCGTAGCGAGGGGGGGGGGGGGCGGGGGGTGCGGACCGCACCGGGTGACACCATTTAGGGGGGTGACACCAAGGCAAAAAACAGCAAAATATATAGAGAAAAACTCGAGGGGGGTGCAAATCGAAAGTTTGAGGGGGGGGGGGGGGGTGCAAATCGAAAGTTTGAATGGGGGGTGCAAATCGAAAACTTGAAAGTTTGTCCCTGGGAAGGGTCTCTATGCCTCTGGGGGGGGGGGGGGGTGACACCATTAAGTGCCGCACCGGGTGACACCCGACCTCGCTACGCCACTGTTAGAATCATAAATCTTCATAAAACGTAAAAATAATTTCATAAGCATTATGTATGTCAATTGTATTATTGGAATCATAAATCTTCATAAAACGTAAAAAATAATTTCATAAGCATTATGTATGTCAATTGTATCGAGAGATAGGACGACCATTTTGTTGTTTATTTATTTTATTCATTAAACTTCCACGTTCCAAAAATGTTTTGATGGAAATATAGCAAAAATGTCTCTAGTCTTTTATTTTTGACGAGAATACGTGTTCTACAACCTCACATCAGTCTCTAAAACCACGTGATACTCCCTAAAAGTTTTAAAAATGCATATTTTGTAATATTAAATGTGGGTCGATGTTTATGGGGAAGGGGGGGTTGCTACACCAAATGATTATATAATTAGAAATGTTGTGGTGTAGGATTAATGATAGGGTTTGGGATATATTTTTAGATTAGTAATATGAATAGGATATGAATGATTATAAGGATAAGGGTACGAGTGTGTGTAAAAATAAAAATAATAAGCGTGAAGAAATGGATATGGATAAATGGATAGCGATATGGACATGGCTGTGGCTGGGGATGGGGATAGGGATGGGGATAGGGATGGGGATAAGTGGATGGGGTTTAAGGCCTAGCCGATAGGGATGGTGGATTCACATATTTAGTTTACAGCCGTGTGGAACGTCTAGGTCTTTAAATCATGCATCCATCGATCGATTTTCTAGGTACAGAGTGTTGTCTTTTTGATTGGTGCTACCACCGCATGTGTGGGTTGTTTTCAAAGATGTGGTTTGATGTGGTTAGGTTTAACAGAGATTCAAAGATGTGTTTCGGTTTAACTGAGGCTCGAAGATGAAGTTTGGTTAAACTGAGATTTAAAGATGTGGTTTGGTTTAACCGAGATAGTCTTGTGTGTTAACGTCTTATTGATTTGCTAATCGATCGATTGAAATGTGTTCACTGGTTGGCACATTTTGCTAATGTGTCGTACACGACATACATGTTATATATGACACACACACATGACATACATGTCATATGTGACACGCATCTGACATACATGTCATATATAACACACACATGACTTACATGTCATAATTACCATTACTAATCAGTAAGCAATAACCACATGTTTCTGTAGTGGTTTAGTCTTCATTATGCTATAGCGCTTAAACTAACCCTGCCATTAAACCCTGCCATTAACCTGCCATTAACCTGCCACTAACCCTGCCACTAACCCTGCCACTAACCTGCCACTAACCCTGCCACTAACCCTGCCACTAACCCTGCCACTAACCCTGCCACTAACCCTGCCACTAATCCTCAATACACTCAAGTCAGCTGTAGACGATGACAAAGTGTGTTTGATATTTTTAGGAACATGCCCAGCTTAAAGTAAATAGGAAATCTTACATGACTGAGTCGATTTATACATTCACATGTACACATGTATCTGTACACAAACATATTCACAGGAACACAAACACATACAGGTGTACACAAACACATTCAAGTGTACACAAACACACATACAGGTGTACACAAACATATTCACAGGTACACAAACACATTCAGGTGTACACAAACATGTTCACAGGTACACAAACACATACAGGTGTACAGGTGTACAGAAACACGTACAGGTGTACAGGTGTACAGAAACACATACAGGTGTACACAAACACATTCAGGTGTACACAAACACATACAGGTGTACACAAACACACATACAGATGTACACAAACACATACAGGTGTGCACAAACACACATTCAGGTGTACAGAAACACATTCAGGTGTACACAAAAACACATTCAGGTGTACACAAACACATTCAGGTGTACACAAACACATACAGATGTACACAAACACACATCCAGGTGTACGCAAACACATTCCCCACACACACCCACGAAACACACATTCACGATACACTCACCACACATTCGCCACACACATATACAACAAGCGGGTGGGGAAACAAACATGACCTTACCTGGCAGGTGTTTGCCGATCACAGACGTTACACAACGGTCACCACTGCCTAATGCTTGAAACAGAACAGCTAAGACAAACTAGCAATCAGACGTCAAGACACACACTGCCGCCTGCACTATCGATATCTCCGTGTTTCTCGATCGATCACTAACTTATATAGATCGACCAGATATATATTGATCGACCTGACAAAGACCGTCTGGCACTTGTATTTTTAGTAACGCTATCATTTGTTTACTTCCGTTTGTGTGTACGGCTAAACCTTTTGATTGCGGGTGCTAGGGAACAGCGGGTCAGTACCTAGTCTCTGTGACGTCACAGTGGGGATGGTAAACGTCCATCTGGTCAGTTGGGCGACCACCAGTTGTCATTAGGACGACATTTTATTTTAGAATAACAAACGTGATCAGACACGTCCTGGCTGGATCGATATTGATCTAGTGCAACTAACCACAACAAACCAATCAATACCGACACAGCTGACCTACATTTGGTGCCAGGCTGGTGGGACAGACGGGAGGTCTGTGACGTCACGTCAGGTGGTAATTCTGTTAAGTCGTGTGTAGAGTGACTCATAAGTCCAAATTTGTATTTTCTTGAGTGACTGTCACATCAACATCATCATTCACACAACACTAGACAGACTGGGTTGTTGAACCACAACATCAAAGTCTTAATTCATAGGATAGTTCAGGCGTAGGGGTCTGACAGACGGACAGAGGGGTCTGACAGATGGACAGAGGGGTCTGACAGACGGACAGAGGGGTCTGACAGATGGACATGTCTGACAGATGGACAGAGGGGTTGGACAGAGGGGTTGGACAGATGGACAGAGGGGTCTGACAGATGGGTCTGACAGATGGACAGAGGGTCTGACAGATGGGTCTGACAGATGGACAGAGGGTCTGACAGATGGACAGAGGGGTCTGACAGATGGACAGAGGGGTCTGACAGATGGACAGAAGGGTCTGACAGATGGACAGAGGGGTCTGACAGATGGAGAGAGGGGTCTGACAGATGGACAGAAGGGTCTGACAGATGGACAGAGGGGTCTGACAGATGGAGAGAGGGGTCTGACAGATGGACAGAGGGGTCTGACAGATGGGTCTGACAGATGGACAGAGGGTCTGACAGACGGACAGAGGGGTCTGACAGATGGACAGAGGGGTCTGACAGATGGACAGGAGGGTCTGACAGATGGACAGAGGGGTCTGACAGATGGAGAGAGGGGTCTGACAGATGGACAGAAGGGTCTGACAGATGGACAGAGGGGTCTGACAGATGGGTCTGACAGATGGACAGAGGGGTCTGACAGATGGACAGAGGGTCTGACAGATGGACAGTGGGGTCTGACAGATGGACAGAGGGGTCTGACAGATGGATAGAGGGGTCTGACAGATGGACAGAGGGGTCTGACCGATGGACAGAGGGGTCTGACAGGGATAGAGGGGTCTGACAGATGGACAGAGGGGTTGGACAGATGGACAGAGGGGTCTGACAGATGGACAGAGGGGTTGGACAGATGGACAGAGGGGTCTGACAGATGGACAGAGGGGTCTGACAGGGATAGAGGGGTCTGACAGATGGACAGAGGGGTCTGACAGATGGAGAGAGGGGTCTGACAGATGGACAGAAGGGTCTGACAGATGGACAGAGGGGTCTGACAGATGGAGAGAGGGGTCTGACAGATGGACAGAGGGGTCTGACAGATGGGTCTGACAGATGGACAGAGGGTCTGACAGACGGACAGAGGGGTCTGACAGATGGACAGAGGGGTCTGACAGATGGACAGAAGGGTCTGACAGATGGACAGAGGGGTCTGACCGATGGAGAGAGGGGTCTGACAGATGGACAGAAGGGTCTGACAGATGGACAGAGGGGTCTGACAGATGGGTCTGACAGATGGACAGAGGGGTCTGACAGATGGACAGAGGGTCTGACAGATGGACAGAGGGGTCTGACAGATGGACAGAGGGGTCTGACAGATGGATAGAGGGGTCTGACAGATGGACAGAGGGGTCTGACCGATGGACAGAGGGGTCTGACAGGGATAGAGGGGTCTGACAGATGGACAGAGGGGTTGGACAGATGGACAGAGGGGTCTGACAGATGGACAGAGGGGTTGGACAGATGGACAGAGGGGTCTGACAGATGGACAGAGGGGTCTGACAGGGATAGAGGGGTCTGACAGATGGACAGAGGGGTTGGACA